GCCAAAACTAACAAAATGAAGTTCAACGGGGACAAATGCAAGATACTCCACTTAGGCATAAAAAACCAAATGCAAAGATACAGAATGGGGGACAATCCCTGGCTTGAGAGCAGTACGTGTGAAAAAAATCTTGGAGTCCTTGTGGACAGCAAGTTAAACATGAGCCAACAATGTGATGTAGCGGCAAAAAAAGGCCAATGGGATTTTGACCTGCATCAATAGGAGCCTAGTGTCTAGATCTAGGGAAGTCCTGCTCCCCATGCTCTATTCCGCTTTGGTTAGACCACACCTGGAATATTGTGTCCACTTCTGGGCACCACAATTCAAGAGAGATATTGACTAAGATGGAATGTGTCCAGAGGAGGGCGACTAAAATGATCAAGGGTCTGGAGAACAAGCCCTATGAGGAGTGGATTAAGGAGCTGGGCATGTTTAGCCTGAAGAAGAGAAGGCTGAGAGGAGATATGATAGCCATGTATAAATATGTGAGAGGAAGCCACAGGGAGGAGGGAGACTAGGAGAGCAATGGAACAATGGCTTCAAACTACAAGAAAGGAGATTCCATCTAAACATGAGGAAGAACTTCCTGACTGTGAGGGCCGTTCAGCAGTGGAACTCTCTGCCCCGGAGTGTGGTGGAGGCTCCTTCTTTGGATGCTTTTAAACAGGGGCTGGATGGCCATCTGTCAGGGGTGATTTGAATGCAATATTCCTGCTTCTTGGCAGAATGGGGTTGGACTGGATGGCCCAGGAGGTCTCCTCCAACTCTTTGATTCTATGATTCCCTATCAAATAGTGCTAAAACTCCCAGGATTCCATAGCATGGAGTCATGTCATTTCAAGTGGTGTCAAACTGCATTAATTATATATTGTAGATGCACAGTTAGTCTGTAGAGCAACAAGCTTGCTGCATCTTTAGCAAACTGAAGAATTTTCAGAAAGTGCTTCCATTCTTCTGCTCTCCTTCTTTGCAAGCAAGAAGGGCTGATAGATGCTCAGGATAAATGTTCCAACTTGGAAGTTTGTGATGTGACCCTTCTGGCTCTGGATAGTTGTGTGTTATGAGCACTTCTGATTCTGTGCTCACACAGAACTTTCTAATCACCTGCATGGATTTTTAAACAGACCTTTTTAACATAAGGATTAAAGACATCTCCAAAAAAAATTTCACTGCTCATTGATATTGAGTTATTCAGACATAAAAGTAAGTCTAGTCTGAAGCCCAACGGTTGCTTTGTAATATTCTGCCTACACTTTAAACTCGGTCTTCAAAGCTGAAATTAAACTAACTGCTGTGGAAATTGTGAGGTCTCAAAAAGGCAAAGTGTTCAAAGGCTCTGATGGGCCTCCTCCACTCTGTGGTTTTCTCCTGCAAAGCTGAGGATCAACCACCGTGTCCAAAGCAGATGGAGAGGTGGGGCGGGAGGCTGGTCTTCTTTTGAACTTGTCGCAATATTCTTGGGGTGGAAGAGGAGGGTCTTTCCAGTCGACACAGGAGCCTGAAGTGGAGGTAGAGCTTGCCAATGGAGTAGTGGATTCAAACACCAGGAAAAGAGATCCCATCTAAATGTTAAGAAGAGTATCCTGTAGACCAGTGGTTCTCAACCTTCCTAACGCCGCGACCCCTTAATACAGTTTTATACACTAAATTTGCTACTGTTATGCTACTGTTATGAATCGTCATGTAAATATCTGATAGGCAAGATGTATTTTCATTCTCTGGACCTTGGGAGTTGTAGTTGCTGGGATTTATAGTTCACCTACAATCAAATTCTGAACTACACCAGAGATGGAATTGACTTAAACTTGGCACACAGAATGCCCATGACCAGCAAAACATAATGAAAGGGTTAGGTGAGCATTGGCTTTGAGTTTGGGAGTTGTAGTTCACCTATCTCCAGAAAGCAACATTGATAGATCTGGACTAAACTTGGCATGAATACTCAATATGCCCAAATGTGGTCACTGTTGGGAGTTTGGGGGAAATAGACCTTGACATTTGGGAGTTGTAATTGCTGGGATTTATAGTTCACCTACAATCACAGAGCATTCTGAACCCCACCAACAACAGAATTGGGCCAGGCTTCCCACACAGAACTCCCATGACCAGCAGAAAATACTGTGTATCCTGATGGTCTTAGGCGACCCCTCCAACATCCCCTCGCAACCCCCACAGGGGTCCCGACCCCCAGGTTGAGAAACACTGCTGTAGACTTTGTTGATCCAAAAAAAATGGTTCAAAACCCGTTTCAGAAGTAGGGGGCGCTGGTGGTTCGATTCGGAAAAGAATAACTCAATATCAATGAGCAGGGATTGTGGCGCAGCTGGCTGAGTGTCAGCTACATTAAGATCACTCTGACCAAAAGGTCATGAGTTCGAAGCCAGCCCAGGTTGGAGTGGGTTTCCAACCAATTGAGTAGCCTGTTGTTGACCTTTGCAACCCGAAAGATAGTTGCATCTGTCAAGTAGGAAAATTGGGTACCACCTTAAAGTGTGGGGAGGCTAAATTAACTAATTTATGAGGCCATAAAAAAAAGATTCCAGCAAAAGCATGCGGGGAATGCGGAAGTGCTTCATCAGCGTCGCAGATGGACAATGAAAGTGACAGCTCCCCTGGCGGCCAGAAAAAGTTAAACAGCCTCTGTGTATGTCTGTATATGTTTGTATGTCAAAAATTGGCATTGAATGTTTGCCATATATGTGTACACTGTAATCCGCCCTGAGTCCCCTGCGGGGTGAGAAGGAGGGCGGAATAGAAATACTGTAAATAAAACAAAAATAATAATAAATAATAGGCCTGGGTAACAACGGAAAAATTTGTTTCTAAAATCGATTCGTTTTTTGGGGTTTTTTGCG